AACCTTCAACAATGTTACCGAGTCCCTTTAAACATGCTGTATCCCTGAGCAATCCAATATAATTTTAATTTGTTGCGTAACAGTGATGAAAGTATACCACTCAGACTCAAGGGCATATAAATAATACAGGTTAGATCTTACCCTAATTTCCAAACAAAATTGACTCTTCCTTGGATATCGTGACGGTAATCTTTGCTGTACCTTGGAAGAAAATAGATTGACTTAAACTCGCTAATTTTGTTGGAAATATACGTGATTAAGATCTCTGAAGGTAAAAATAATTATCTTTTAGTCACTCAATAGTCAGGAAAGATTTCTGGCCCGTTATCACGAAAAGAAAAATTAATCATTTTTCATAAAGATGCCTCGATATTTTTACGTCCCATTTCTGTAGGTGGATTTCATAAATTTGATGCCATGTAGGGAATTTTCGTTCAATTTATTCGTTATGATATCTAGATGGATTTCGGATGGATACAGCTTCCTCTCATTTAAGCATTCTGGCCGTGAAGATAAACTGGTAATAATGTGTGGTTAATGACAAGCATAGCGCGTCTTAATCGAAACATCATTAGCTGCGGGCCATTGACCGTCAAATAAAAAAAGACGACTTGAAAGGTGTTTTCCCCTTCCCCCTTATCATCTCTGGGACGTTGGCAGATAAATAGACTGTGCTTGATGTAGATCAATGCTTGAGGCTGAGAATACTCAAAGCTGGAAAGACGAAATCTCGCAATTACAAGCTAAAATAAACATGAAATAAGCGTTGCAGGAAAACGAGTAATTGCAGGAGAAAGAAATGATGTCCATTTGTTAAAGAATGAAGAAAGGAGGACAACCCATTTCATCACAGTTTTTTAAAGTGACAAAGGAATTATAGAAAAATGAAGTAAATTTATAATTTTTTACAAGCCAAATTTTATTTAAACCCATACGACTAATCATTGATAGAAGCGACACACTGTGACTTATGAGGTGCACAGCTTGCAGAAATCAGACACAGGTGACCATTAAACATGTCTTTACGGGTAAATTAAAATTGGGCCATCGCCATGAATAACATGCACTTTTTTGCCCTTTTTTCTGCTCACAAATTCTCCCAAATCTTCCATTATTTGCACCTTACCTTCGCCTTCTTCCCCGGCTCATGTTCCCCTTGAAATGTGAACTTGTCACTTTATCCTTCTGCTTTATTTCCCCAGACTCGGTCCAGTCAACAGAGCAATCCCGAGAACCTTTAGATAAACCCTTGCCACTGTCCCAAATCACAAGCCTGACAAATCAAATTAAGACATTTGATTCCCATGCCGCTGATTTTCACCTTTCAATGTAGGTTGACACATCCGCCTCGGTCGCACTTGGTAATCACTGGAGAGGTAATAAACTGAAACAATCTAGATGAGCTTCATCAAGCTCGGGGAACAGTATTCAGAGGGTAATTTGGAGAGAGGTAACGTGTTCCGAGCCTGCAGGGACTACCAGCTCGACAGGATATGAAACGAACTTGAAACCTAGGTGCAATATGGTAAACTGCGACCAGGATGAACACGCATACGGCATTGTTATCGGGTTCAGTATGTATGGTGGTATTGTATCTAAGGTTGTACATATATGCTGGTATATAGTGGTAGAATGGTGATAGAACGTGATAATAATAATAATATAAATAATTATAAAGCGCAATAATAAAGTACTAGTAAAAGTCTAGCAATTACCTTTTCTGGCCTTTTGCTTCGATCATCAGAAAATTCCAAACGGAATTTAGAATTGAATGAGAATAACAAAAACGAGAAACTAGCAAATACTTATGATGCAAGAAAAGTCTTACAAACTAAAGACTGAATGCTTATCAGACATGTAGACGACAGATGGTATTGTTTGTAAGTTGGCAGTACGGTGTTATAATAACAATATCAAAATGAAACTCCCAGAAAACTATTTTGTAAAATGAAAGAAAAAAAAAACGATTGCTTAATGCTTTTTTTGTTGTTGTAAATCCCTTTCAGAATACATTTAATAGCCTTTGTGTACTCGTGTCCACATACGAACCTGGGTAAATTATGGCAAAATGTAGATCAAAGCCTTGCTAAAGTGATTTGGCAGGAATCGAACCCCGACCCTTGAAACCTACATACCGTGGCTAATAAACAAGACCACATCACCTATACGATGTCAATAAAGCGTCAAATACAAACTTCGGAAAACATATACAAAACATCATTAGTAGTATTATTATCATTGTAATTGTATGATGGACAAAATATATGTATCTGAAAAAGACGTTATCATATAAGCGTGTATTCGAGCTGGTGCAAACAAAATTGTAACCACTCTAGTGAAAAATAAGAAGTATTACTGATAAGCATTTTATGATCATTAACTGTATCAGCTTGGATTTATAACAAATACATTTACGTCAAAATAAATGATTAACCACCATATTGCAAGGACTTATTTTAATTGTATTCATAGGCCTATACTTTATCCTGCTTGTATATCCTCTTATGTGATATGTCTACACTCTATACAAGTACCAGCATACTTACAATGCATGCGATATCACTTGTAATTAAACCAAAACGTAAATTGAATGCGTTATTCATCAAAATGCTCGTGATACAACTGTAACTTCGTTTTTAATAAATTCTTCATATTCCTCCCTTGTCAAGGACAAATTGTGCTTTAAAGGGAACTATTCGACATTAAAATATAAAACAATCTACAAGACCGGATTATATGCAGCAAGATAAAACCATGTAATGTCGGATTTGTATATATTTATTAAAATAAATATGCAATTTAATTACAGGAATTTCAGAGGAAGGCCTATATTGATGATGTATGACGGAATCAATTTTGGCATCTGTAGCTTAATCGCTTTGATTGAGAATTCTTAAATTGAATTAAACTTTCAAGAACCTATACAGCATATTGCAATGGAAAAATTCTTTTTGAAGGCAGTATGGGGAATTTCTTTGAATGTTCAGCTTTCAGAATCTATGATTTTCCTGCTTTGATGTGTTTTTCTTCATGTTATTATACACATCATTCCGTTCGTTAACATACATACCAATAAATTGCTTTTATTTAGTGCATTGGAATCATCTTTAATTACATTTTGTAAAGCGCTTGACACCAGCGTTTCATAAAAGTGTTTAACATTTATTTAGGAATTATCCCCTCAGTCATTGGATTCAGCTGCTAGTGGTCCGCAAATTATTATCATATGGGACACATATTTCTTTTCTCCTGAATTTGTACTACAGGTACATGTATGCCAAACCGGATTTTGTTTTTACAATCGGAAATGCCCCCCCCCCCCCATCCGTCACTGAGCAATTTTCATAAAGGCTTCGTGAATTTTGATATCCATGATATGTAGAGATCTGTGAAAACTAACCATCATAATGTGCATATTTTTTGACAGAATGATCGATGAACAATAGTGGTCGCACCATGAAACTCTAGTGTGTCAAAAACGTATGCTTACAAGTAGTGTTTAATATTCCTTATGGTAAACAGTAACACAATCTCAAAAATCAACACATGGTAATTTCAATTCCATATTGTATATCCCATACAAACCTTTTCGGGTTACGTTATACGGTATTGTAATATTCCCACCTATAGAAAATAATGCACAGGGATATTAAAATGGCCTTATAATGATTTTATTTTCGAAAGTCTTTGCCATTGCGTTCAGTGCACACTCTCAAACTTGCTTTGATCACACCATTCCGAACAATTTCACTGGTAAATGTATTGTGGTCTCGATCTTGTACAAAATCGATATTAAGATTGGTTGATTTGTTCAATATGACCGATATATTTGTTAGGTTTTATACGAGTCAATCGACAGACTGCACCCAATTTGAGTGCTTACTATGACAATGACAAAGAATTTCCTCTCACACGATGCCATTTCTTTGAAATGATTAATCATTTTTTAGAATAAAATGTAGTTTGCGTGTACAGATTTTGACTAAAGACTGAAATTAGTAGAGCAACAACAACCGTTGGAACTCAGTAAAAAATCTTTATATCCTAACAAATATTTTTCACAAACCAATTGCATCAATGACTTTTGTTGGGAGATTTAGCAATTCACTGTGTAATTTATGAAATATAAAATGTGATTCGATACATAATTTCCTGGTATACTGTCGAATTGTTATCCCAGTCTGGTGATATTTAGAAAAGTATTTCAAGTTCGCAATTGAACGAAAAAATGGATTTCTTTATTTTTTAAAATTGTTTACTTTCATTCTTACAGATGAAGAAGAAGACTGCTGTATCTTTCAAAGTGATAAGCTTGTCATTTATTGTAGTAAGTTTGTATTTCAGGTTTAACACCTCGTAATATTTGTTGATAAGTCTTATGCTTTGTTTTGTTTTGTTGTCGTATATCAGTAAAAGAAGAATAATAAACTTAAAACTTAAAAAAAGAAGAGATTTTTATTAAACGAAAGTTGTTGTTGTTGTTGTCGTCGTTGTTGTTCTTGTCTTATGTTGTTGCTCTTGTTGTTATCATTGTCATTGTTTGTTTGAGTTGTACTGAGTGTGTCCGTTACGCTTGATATATAAGACTTGTTTATGGTTGATAACTAAAGATGATGGATTATCTCTATTCTTTATAATCATCATAGACTATGATACATTAATACAGCATAAGTTTTCTACATGGCCGTCAGTCATCAAATCATGCAATATAATACACAGATTGCTGAACATTGCACCTTTCGCCGACATATATTAGACAATTGAGCTTACAAACATTCCTCTTGGCCTTCGAGATCAAGAGCCATACAAGTCATGTGTAGTTGTTTTCTATATAGGTAAGCAATTCTGGCGATTAAAGTCCGAAAATGGACGACGGATAATTAACGATTATTTTATACGGGTATATCAGAGAAAGTATGTTGAAACATTCTCGATTCTAATTGGTATCAATATACTTTTAAGGAAAATCACTGAAAGATATGAAGAAAGGGGAAACTTACCAGCTGTTACCAAAATGGGTGGGATGGAGCCTTAACCACACCTTGAGAAAGTTTTATCCCTTCATACGAGGAACAAAGACAAAATATCATGAAAACTTCGATCTCGAGTATTGAAATTATTCTTCTCGATGACATATATGATGTTTTTTTTGTTGAAAACGAAGACCAATTAAAAATAAAATGAATATATGTCCACGCCTCCAAGGCAATTGTCTCGCAGATGTTTGCAAGTAAGCTGGTCTCGTTTCGTCTCCCTGTGGCGTCTTAAAATGAGATTCTACTGGGTCCGGTCCAGTGATCCTAAAACCGGACAACCCCAAACACCGTCCAAAGAAACAGCAGTCGCTTTATTAACATCTATCCGAGATAGCCTTGTGGAAGGCACGGTTTGGTACGCGTGCGAATTACCTTTTTGACTCGACGAGCGACGCACTTGGAGTGATGAGCTAATTGGATGTTGTGAATGAGATATGCGAACGTCGGGGATGCTCACGCGTGCGATATGATATTCCAACCCGCTTACGAGCGAACAATCGACGGCCGTAAATTCCATGCGGAGTGGGGAGTAAGATTGAAGCCAAATGTAAACGGAACACATTTTGCACGCTCCTTGATGTTCTAGTTGTTTCATAACTTCCTCACACGTGATGACGTATCTAGTCTAGAATGAGTTGAACCTAACATCTGTACAATAATTTCGCTCTCACGATACAACGATGACAAAATTAAAACTCCTCTCGTTTATCACTTGAATTATTAAATAACCAATAACACTTTTATTCAAACTCCATGCTGTTTTCATACCACTAGGGAATAATTTATGTTCCGTAAGTAATGACTTACTTCTTTTTGGAATAATGTTACCACAGATCTACGATTTGCAGCCCACATTAAGCTGATAACGTACCGCCATATAATGAGAAAAAATATGATTATTCTAATGGAAGACTTAAAGGGAATGTTTTCTTGATTTTGAGTTTTAAATGATGGTGCACTATTTCTGATTTTTTGTTGTTGTAATACAACAAAATAGCTCTCATATTTGCGATAAATGGTTGAGTCTGGTAATAGCTTTGTCAAGCAAGTGTATGCTCAAGGCAATATTGAATATAGCACATACAAAATCACGTCAATATGAAACATGGCATTCAATTCTGTTTATTCATAGAATTTCGATTACAAACAGCTCGTTTTTTGTTTATCCAAATATCCTGTTTTGTTTCATGTTCTAGGTTCCTCGGAAAAATTCATCACTTTGTGTAATTTAGGATTTTATTTTTATTTTTGTATAAATGTAGGAATCAGATTTGTATTAAAGCTCGTCTGTACTAGGTGGGCCAGAAGGGATTAGACCACCCAGCGGGTGGTCACTGACAGGTGGCTATCTCATTAACTCGGCTCTCAATTAACATAAGGAAAACAGTATCATGGGGGACCAACGGTCACCGATTAGGCATTGTTTCCTATATAGAGGGAGCAAGTAGCTACAAGTAGTACAGTGGGGCTTAAGGCAATTTTGTATGTTTAATTAAAAATGATGGCATCGCCTTTAAATTATTTTAAAAATGGATGCAATCATCATTAATGGATTTCTTCGCCGGGGAACCTGATTTTTTTTCTCCCTTGTCACTATTTCCCACTCACTGATATTTCGATTGCACGTCCCCTCCAACAATGTTTCGAACAAATCTAGCTACATACGTGCCTCGTGTCTCGTCTAGTACCACAGCTCGTTCGGGAACTGTAGGGAATTACCGGGTAAAATATTATTACTTCAGTTTTATTACAAATCAACGTATGCGTATTGAAATGTGATAAGCAGGCCATTATTATCTATTCATCATGCTTCTAAAAAAAAATCTCGATCTTTCATTGTGACATTTTGTATATCTTACAAACTTAAAATCGTTATACAATACATCCTTTCCACATTTCTCCCTGGTCACACACTCTCTCTCTCTCTCTCTCTCTCTCTCTCTCTCTCCCTTTCTTCATCTTTCTCTCTATCTCTCTTTTTCTTTCTCTCTTTCTCTCCCTCCCTCCCCATCCCTTCTCTCCCTCACTCTCTCTCTCTCTCTGTCTCTCTCTCTCTCTCTCTCTTTACGCCTTTCTCAAGCCCCATACTAGAATTTGAAATACAAATTTAAGTATTATTCAATTTGTTTCAATGTGATACCACTCCTCATTGAACATGAAACTACCATTCTTTGCCTTTTCCCAGCAAAAATCGATTACAACCGGTGTTACCAGAGAGAATTGCGGATCACAAAACGTATTTTACGATCGTGGAAATGATATTCGAACGAGATGAACGAACATGATTAATTTCATTCAAACAATAATGTTCAATTTTGTTTCGCGTAATCCCCGATTAAAAAGCGATCGCATGACATTTAAGCGGACTTTTGTCGTCCATATAGTATTGCTTTTGTGGTGCTCACTATTTCAATAATGAAAACTAACGAGATAATCCATGAGATTTAATCCTTAAAACTGCTGTGGATTGCATTTATACGTTCAGATTATAATTGGTTGAATGGTATACGAAGAAAGTACTTTTTATCGTGCACTTATCTTTCTATCTCCCCCCATACTTCTGACTCACCCCATTCTCCCCCATCCCCCCCCCTCTCTCTCTCTCCCTCTCTCTCTCTCTCTCTCTCTCTCTCTCTTATCTACTTCTCTTTCTTTACCAGCAGTTACTTTATGCTCACCCCTCCCCCGCCTATACCACAATCATGATCACCCCTAAGAACGATACGAGCTCCACAGTTTTTGTGTTAATTGTAATACACGAGTCGAATCCAACCGATACCGATGTTGAGCCTCATACCTCGACATTCATCGTCCCCAAGGTCCGTTTCATCGTCTCAAATATCCCGTGAGCTGCGGAGGACAAAATCGTTCCATGACGACGAACATGAAACCGCGGTCGAACTCCCCCTGGCATGAGGCGATGTCGGGCTTTACAGGTTAATAAGGGGCGACAGGAAATTGAGGGAACGTCCGATATACGCCTTCCTCTTCTTCTGCTTCTTCATCTTCTTATAATCTTTCTCCTTCTCCTTCTTCTAATCTTTCTCCTTGTAATCTTCGAAGGGATAGTCGGCATATCACAAATTTTGGTTCACCATTTTAAAAGTCAAGAGAGATGAAGAGATTGGAGTTAATTAAAGTTTTAAAAAAGTGGAAAATCTGGAAGATAGGTTCACTTCGAGACAGTATCTCCATTGTTATTGCAGAAAAAAGGACATGTGGAGCCAAAATATGCTTTAATTTAGCTTACAAAATGAATAAGAAAAAAGCTTACAATATTAAATCTAAGAACGCTCAAAGATTGGTGAAAAACGACGGCTTCTTCCTATCGCTATCCATAACCCCGTTTCCATTTTCTATTTATACACACTCCTTGTAGCTTATCATTATCCGTCTTTGTCAGAGCTTGAACGTGTAATTTCATTTCAAATGCTCCTCGGGCCTAATATCATCTCGTAACAAAACGGCGTAATTCAATACATCTTCCAATATTGCTGCTATGTGTGTTTCACCAAGCCAGTATAGCAGACTATCCAAAATAACATTTTCTCTTCCGCATAGCTCATAAATATGATAGTTATTCTACCTCGTCTAAATATTACGATAATCTCTTCGAATTTCATGCAGGCGTGCGTGCATCACGATTTTGTGGCGTTTGTCGGAGTAGTGTTTTTTGTACTGGAGCGATGCTTGTTATCTGATGTTATACCCCTACGATACTGGCGACAGACGGGCCAGAGTGGGCGTAAACGTGAGAGCAGCATGCCTATCGGGCAATAAAGCCTGTAACGCTAAGTTTACTCATATCTTTACACTACTCATCATCATTGCGTATACCTGCCTCCAGATATTATAAATGTCTTCGCATAGGATATAAATATTCCTGTCTTTCATCTACAAATCTCAGGTTTCCGCTTTTTGTGTCGCTTAATCTTTAATACCTAGCAAAATATGTTTTTGTGCACTCTCGCTCTCATTTTTGCCTAACTATGTGACGATGATGAATTGTATTTGCATTTTTGGTGGTATTCAGACTTCTTATAAAAATCACTTTGTATTTTTGTTGTTGTTGTTGTTCGCCGAAAATAAGCATTTCCTTTATAAAATCACTTTCACTAAATGTATACAATATGCAGGCCTGTAACCACGGGGGGGGGGGCACGTGCTCCCCCCCCCCCCTCGTGCCTCTCCCCAAAAAAATCCAAGATCGGTTGAACTTTTTTAGACCCCTCCCCAGGACGTCGATCAATTACATGTATGTGCCCCCCCCCCCCCAACATCAAACTCTGGCTACGGACCTGACAATATGAATAAAGAGGCATTTTGGATTTGACTTGAATTCAGAATGCCTCAAAACTGTTTGGCCCGAATTCACAAAGGAGGTTTGTCGACAAACCTAGGTTTATGTGCGTCATAATTATGACGCGTTTTTACAAACTTTGTAAATACAAACCAGGTTACAAGCTAGGTTACAAACCTAGGTTGAAAATACGCGTCAAAATGCGTCATATGACGCAGATAAACCTAGGTTTGTCGACAAACCTCCTTTGTGAATTATGTGAGAAGCTAAAAGAAAGGAATTTGTTTTCTACGTAAAGCCGAACTTAAAGCAAGATTGAATAATAACAATAATGCTCACTGATTGTATCATTAAATATTTATTCAATATCTATCTGCATCATTTTACTGTACATACAGTAATAAAGATGGACTTTTCTCATGAGAGTCAGAGAAGATTCAATTAGGTAGGGGAAGAAAACGTTTTTAATTGTTTAAAGACATTATTATATTGATTACTAAGAGACTGAACACAGCATAATTATAATCGTTTAGAAAAAACACTTTTTGCGCGAATTTGAGGAAATGCCTGTTTCCCAAGTCGATGAGATGATCTTTGGTGATATTTGATTAGACTACATTCTAATTGTAATGAATGTCCAATGCCCATAAAATAAGATTTCAGAAAGAAAAAAAAATCATTCCTAAAAGACCCGCTGAGTGCTCTGTTTGCTGTCACTTCAGAGGCATGTTCGTTACAAATAGGAAGGCAGGTAGGAGATTAAGACAAAAACCGGATATATTAATAAATGACAGGCTACTTCTGGTATCAAACCTAAAAAGAATCTTCTGCCCTTTGTCCTAAATAGGCAAATTAGATCAGGAGACTTTTCTCAAGGGAAGGCGATACCGATAGCCTTGATAAATATGAGATATTATATTAGAAAGTTGTTTCCGATTATCTTAATATTGGTATATCGTTGTAAAAGCAATATGATAATGTCATAGCAATACATAGGCCTACATAGGGCATAAAATATTATTATTACTATTATCAATAGTGTAATTATCAGTATTATAATTATCATA